AGTCACTATAATTTTTCAAAAAACCCGTGAATTGATTTAAAATTTTGCAGGTAGCTTTTTAATAGTAATAGGAATCTATAATAACAAATTCAACATGCTAGCATTGTTTAAGTGTATGTATAGCCTATACATTCTTAATGCAAGCGCAAACACGGTAAGATGCGAGTTTAAATGTAGTTCTCGAGTAGTAAGTAATCAACTTCCCTTTAGTTCTCGTTTGTTGGAAGATTCTGTTAAATTACCTGGTCTGTGGGCAGTAACGTGAAATCGTCCGGCGGGTTTGTGATCACGTATCGTTTCGACGAGGCGTCGCACGACGAGCTCGTGTCTCGAAACCTAGAAACGAGTAAACGCATACGTATACAAGTATTTAAGTGGCTACGTGTAACTGCTACGCGCAAATGCGAAAATGATAAAGAAGCGCATTGCGGTTGATCATCATTGATGATAATTGTTTGATCGTTACTGCGACGCCAATTAAATATACATATGCATCACGTAAATGTGTAGAGAGATAGAGAGATAGAGAGAGAGAGAGAGAGAGAGAGAGAGAAAGGCGACAGATAAATGAAAAGACAAGCGGATAAATATATAGATATATAGATAGATAGATAGATAGATAGATAGATAGATAGATAGATAGATAGATAGAGAGAGAGAGAGAGTGAGAGATTTGTTCAACAAATACCATCAATATCCATTTAAAAAAATATACAATACCTGTACCTGTACAGTCCAATGCATAGCATCCCGTACGACTTTAACGCGGCGACGAACAAATCGCCGTACTTCCCTCCTTCGCCGTACTGAGCCAACGGCCCGTCGTACAGCGCTATTTGTCCGACTCGGCACCTATCTCTATTAGCCAAACTGTCCGGCGTACTGGAAATCGGAACGATCGGACGTGAACGGCGAGATTCTATTTGAGTTTACGATTCGAAGTTGGTTTTTACCTGTAACCACCTCTCAGGCCAGCCCCCTCGGCTAGGATCAACTCCAACTCGGGGGTAGCTCCTCCGGTGATCAGGGATCGTATGAGGGTCAATGCGTTTTGGTTAAAATAGGTCTATAAAATGGGAAGAGAAATATAGAGACATAGCGTGTAGAGATTGTGTTGGTATTCGCGAGTTCGATCGAGATGCAAAATACTTTACTGTTGACATTAGAGAGTCGAGAACGCTGACAGCGAAGGCAGTGCCGCAGGCGAAAGGCTGGGTGAGATATAATTCTGTGTCCGGGTCGTCGTCGTCGTCCTGGTCGAGGAACTGTACGTTGCTATCGTTCACCAGCTCTTTAGGACAAAGCAAAGAATTAGAATATAAAATACATAGAAATTAACGTGTGAAAGATCGTTTTTTCGTGGTACCTGTTATCATCGGGACGTTGGCACCGTAGACGGATCCACGTCGCTGTAAAACAATGGGGCTGCCAACTGTAACGATTACACAGAGTGTGTTATATGTCTCTGTGTGGTCGGCCTGTGAGAAAAGATACACGGACTACCTTGACTCAGGACACCGATGGTATCGTCGAAAGTCATCGCTTTGATGTTCAGGGATGCCAAGATAGCTTCCTTGTCGGCGAGGGTTGGGTCATCGTTACTAGGCACTTTAGCCGACAAAATGCAGCACATATCGCATAAATTAACGTTAACGGCGCGTAGATCCGCTCTGCTCAACGGCGAACCCTGTAACAATCGCCAACGCTTCGATGCACTCTTCTCTGAGTTTCTATCACGCTAGTAGATCTTACGTAGTCATAGTATTCACAGATGATACAGACAGTTAAGGAACTGAGAACAAACTACAGATGGATGAATGAATAATGAAATGGGGCACGACGATGAGTTTGAATCGGGGAAAGATCTTACGTTGAGCACGGATATCTTGGGCAGGTTTTGCAACATTTTCCACTCCCGTCGTATGTAGTCGACAGAGCCGACGATCACCACGTGCTTCAGCTCGTGGTAATGAAAATTCGATGCTCTTAGAGGCATCACCAGATTCCTGAGACCGATGAGCGGTGAATCCGGGTCGGCGAATAAACAGACGACTACGTGACCGTTTAGAACGGTCATAGCCGCCTGGTTCCTATCCAGAATACAGTCTTCGAGGTTCCTCGACGGGCTCCAATGGAACATGCCTGCGTTATCACAAAAGGCAATTAGAATCACAGTAGTATGTTGACGCGAATTCGACGGGAATTCGACGCGAATTCGACGCACGTACCCGTAGAGTCGTACTTCATTTCAGTTTTCTCGAAGTCAAAGTCCTTGGCCTGGTCATCGGCGATCCCCACTTGGAGGCCCCCGTTGTTGTTCACGTTACCTCCTCCTGATCCTCTACTAGTCGGCCTGAAAATAACATTTCAATTCGAAACTAAATCTCATCTCGGCTCAAGCACGTTAACAGGGAGAACGATGAAAATACGTACATGAGCTTTTTAACTTCGTAGGCGAGATGGTAGCCAGGATATCCAGACGACTCCTCTTGCGACCTAGGAGTAAGGAGGGATATTGCGGAATATTATCGTGAATAGACGACGAGCCACGGTGAATGAATTACCGTTGATTGTATGGTTGATTAGGACTGCTTAGACTATCGTTCGTCATTCGATTGACGTTAGGTTTCACTTTGTTCACTTGTTTCGTCGAGTTCATCATCGTCATCCCGACGGAGGAGTTTCGATGATTTCTCATCACTGGAACACCCGGTCAAATCACCACGGAATTAATTATCAACGGCGTTAATATTTCGTATATGTATACACACACGATTTAAAGCGGAGTTGTGTACGTAGGGTACGAAGAAAGGATATTTCTCTCTTTCCTTTTTGTTTCTTTTTTCATCACAGAGTTCGACTATTATTATTATTATTATTATTATTAATTTGGTCGTTTAATCGATGTTTTAGGTCGTGTTAGGAAAAACTCACCGTTCGGATCGTCTCGGTCGCGACTCTCACCTAGAAAATTGATAAACACATATTTATGAATGTGATCTTTTCTGTTAGTTCGCATGTTTATTTCTTCGCATGGAAATGATATTTGTTCGGTAACTAATGCGAAAAGCAAATAAGTATGCGCAATATACAAGAGTCAGTAGAAGCGAATATAATTAATTACGCTCGTCGTGAATGATCGACAAGAATAAGTAACGATACAAATACATATGTGTATATGTAACATGTATGCATATATACGTATGTTACAGACAAGGCTTTATTTCTCTTTATTAATGATCGAGCAAAAGTTCTTGGGACTTTGTCTGTAAATGTATGTACGTATACACAAGTTCTAAAACGACATCGAAATATTTGATCGTAAAAGATTCCGACATTGAACATTCAAAGTTTTAAATATACATATAGCCAGTAATCTTTATACTTATATATGTATAGTCTAAACAATTTTTTTATTCTAAATAAAACGAAAGTCTGCCATGCTTTCTATGTATAGTCTATTGTACCAACTAATTCTTCTAATCTGTTTAGGATCATACGTATATGTCACACGTATACTGTATGAATAGTGCAGGATCGAACAATAATTTTTTTCTCTTACTTTCTCGGCAAATACCGAATGCATTTGTATTTTCTCACGTAGAACGAAATTTAGAATGAATTTCGAATCAAGTCCCATTAGGGCACGTCACACTTTCGATCGTGAACGTGAAAATTTCATGGAACAAAAATTTTTCTCTTGGTTCGTTTGTTCTCTGTTATTTCGTGTGTGTGTGTGTGTGTGTGTGTGTATGCGCGTGTCTGTTTGTTTGTTTAACTGCAATTCTTACGTGAACCATCTTGGGCAGTTCTGGCGGAGTGAAGGTTGGGGGAGGGTGGTGGTCGTCTGTAAAAAAAACGGCTAACGTACTTTAGACTAACCCCTAACGTCTAATCGAATTAGAAATAAACGCACAAGTCTACGTTCTAAAATCTCTAATATCTATCATAGAGAAGGTATCAATTCTAATCTAACACTCTAAACACAAGACTCGACCTATGTACACACATACGTATATCGTATTCTTAAGGTAGTACGTTCAATGTACGTATGGTATAAAAGAATATTCCATATGTGTATACACGTCGCATCACCGGTTTGCATCATGTAACAAAAAAAAAAAAACTGCAATTTCACATTATACATATGTAATTATGTAGAAGCGTATGCTGATAGATTACTTAGGTATTAAATGTGAATAAGCATGCAAACTCTGTCTAGCTCTATGTACCAATAAATTCAGAAAGGAATCGACGGAAAAAAAAAATTTAAAAAAAAAGAAAATGAAGAAAAGAGCTAGCAATGTTTCTAATGCTTAGAAGAACGGAGATTTCGTGCCACAGACCATACGCATGTAGTAGAGATACGTTAATTTGAAAAAAAAAAAAATGTATAGCACAGCGTGTGTCGTGAATTGAACGAAAGGGACTGTAAGTATTTCTATCTTTTCTTTTTGTTTTTTAATCTGTTTATATTCGAACGGGAATAACACGGCGGCGGTTGGAAGAGGAACGTTCTCTCCGGTTAGTATTAGAGGGCGGCGAATCGAGATCGAGAGTAGTATTAGATGGAAATTGTGTTTAATTGAACTTACTTGCGTAAGAGAAGTCTTCGCCTAATCGAAGATAGAAGAACAGGGTAAAAGAAGAAAAACGAGAGTAGAGTAGTGACACTGTTACAATAGTATATATAGAGTATTACATATATATGTATATGGGGGATGAAAAGTGTCGTGCCTACATGATTTCCCGTACGATTTAAATCGATTCGTTCGAACATGTTTGTAAGATTCGAAGATATTCGTACGAGTCGATTTAAACGGTGATTATCTCGTCACCGATGATACTCAATGTCTATTTCCTTTTTCTCGCACGATGACGACAGATCATATTCGTTTTTCTTGGATCGGAACAACATTTGATAATAATTGATAACTGGCACTCAGAACGATGGCAACAACACTGGACTGAATAAATGATAACAGACGTGACTGGGGTGACTGGGGTGACTGTTGATATTCGACCAACTAAAAATACGAATGACTAACTGTTGAAAAGGATCAATTTCAATTCCCACAGCCATTACCATCAATAGGATGAACGATAGTGAAATGAATGTAGCACATATGCATAATACACTTTGAGAATGAACTAAGGTGTACATCTAAAATACGACATCGAGTAGTATGTAACAATAAACAAATAGATAAACAATTGAGTTTACGCATTAACGTTATAACGAAAAATAATTGAAACATCAACATTAATAGTTTTAGGACGATTTTTAATAAAACACTAACAACATTTAGAGACCTTACACAGAAAATTGAGGATAACATTTAAAAATTGTCGAGAAATTTTCTTTATACTGTTCGTATTAGTTCACGTACAACTATCGTAGGACACATAAAATTGTCATCAATTGACTATAAAGTATATTTAGAAAAATAGATTCAAACCAATATCGAGTTATTCGTTTGTGTAGATAAAAGACAGAAATAACGAAAGAAGATGGCTAGTTATAACGTTTAGGAATGTAATACACAAGTAAACGAATAATAATAATAATAATAATAATAATAATAATAATAAGGAATGAGGAAGACAATTGTTACATGGACAACGAATATGTGAACGGAAGTGAGTTTCGGCCTTTAAATTTCTCCAAATTAGCGAAACGAGATGCGAAACAACAGCGGATGAAACCAAGTGTTTCTCTATCGTCTATCTAATGTACATACATATATCGTTGGTGGTATCGGTGTCATTTATAGGCCTCAACTCTCGACACAAATGAATTAACGAGTTAAACAGAAACCGAGAAAATCGTTTACTACTACTGTCCAAACAGAGGGGAGAAATTAAGATCGGGGAACGGGAGTGTGGGGAAATAAAATACATACTTGTTCTTCCGACCATTTGAACGGCTCGTACGCCTTTCCTGAACGTGGTCACTGTGCCCCATAGGATAGAGAGAGATAGAGAGATAGAGAGAAAGAGGGGGAGAGAGAGAGAAAACCATAACTGTGTTAGTTTTCATTTTATAGCTAATTAACTATGTAGTTTTAATTATGTGAGCCTAACCTGTTGGGAGGGGGGGTTAGGGTCTCAGGGCTGTTTCACGGAAATACAGGGCCGGGCTACACATGTATGTATAGAACGTATTGCTCATTCGCTGTAACAACGATTCCTCGTTTCGATCCTCGTTAAGATCCTCGTTAAAACGGTTAAAAATGTGCAAGATTCACTTTGGTCGACCGACTAACTAACTTACTTGGTCGTTGCTGCAGCCAATGTCCAATATCAAACAGAGTATACATATATTGCAAATATGATGTTTTATATACATATCGCTCATTTCTTCTGTACATACTTTCACCATGTACCATGTAATAATAATAATAATATGTATATCGTATGCGTTTGATTCAGGGTAATCTATAGTAAATCATGCAACGCAATGCAATGCAAAGGGATCTCTTATTAATCGTATGTAGCTATTGTATTAATCATGACTGTGCAGACTAGTCGATCGGTTAATCGGTTAATTGTTGTATACACAGTACACAATACGTATAATCGTCTCGTATGCGATGGATCGTCTATTACGAAAATCGAGCTCGATCTCATTTTGGGCCGGGTGAGCATGCTAGTCTCACTTTAATAAACTAAGCCTTTCGTCGAACAGGGGGTTGTTACGCGTATATAATAATCGGAAGTGTGTACTTGTATGCAAAACGTTTATTAAATCTGTGTAAAACTGTTAGACAGGCATTATTCATTTTTCACGTTGACAATGGACGCCACTTGATAGAACACCGTAAATCGGTATATCACATTATATTTCGTTAGATTATCGTCGAACGCGAAAAACGAACAAGTACCTCGTCCGACGTAGGAAAATCGCGGCGGCAAATAAAACGTTAGATAAGATGCAATCATTGTCAATCGTCGCCATTGTCAGTCATTATAATCGTAATCCATACTTCATAATAATAGTCACCAATAATAATAATAATAATAATAATAATAATAATAATAATAATAATAATAATAATAATAATCATAATAATCATAATCGTAATAAGAATCATGACCATCGGCAATGCCATAGGCGGTAACATATGCAATAATTTGTCCATAACAAAAGAAGGAGGAAAGAAAATTAATAATAATAGTAATAATAATAATAATAATAATAATAATTCAAGGCACATGTATATATTATGTACATACATAACGCGAGGCAGAGAGATAGAGAAAGTATGTGCAAGAATAGATAGTGTTAGTGAAAGAGAGAGAGAGAGAGAGAGAGAGAGAGAGAGAGAGAAAAGAAAACGTAAATCGGGTGACAGACATAATTGAATCGTGTGAATCAAAGATAGAACGAAATTAAATGTAAATTGAAATGAAACGTAGAAGGGCGGGGTGGTTTGGGGTAATAGATATAAAACAGGCTAGAAACAGAAGCGAGATACGAGTTACCTAAATCTCGGCCCCAGGAGCGTTGCTGCTGCCCCACTACAGATCAATAATATATCACAAAATGATTCTAATCGAACGATTCTTTTTAAATTAATTTTGATCGCGACATTAATCGTATACCGCGTACATCAAGCATTAAGTATCATTAATTTATCCACGTAACATAGTACGCTCGTTCTCTAATCATCTGAATCAAGTCTCGACACAATCTTATAGTATACGATACGATATAATTGAGCTTTAACTAAAACGTTTCGTTTTAGTTCAAAGGTAGAATATTATCGGTGGGTGGGGGGNTCGTTTCGCTATCTATAATTAATATGTAGTTATATCTAATTGATGTATTAAAAAAAAATAAAAACAATAAAAATATATGTATAATTGTATTATTATCGGAAGAGAAGATTTGAGAAATACTTACAATTTTTACATTTGCACTTCTTTATTAACGTTTCGTCCTTTATCTCCTCGTGGCAGGCTTTGCAGTAGAACCAGGCCCTGAAATAATTTCGCAAATTATGGTGAACGATCGACGAAGACGCGTATACCTGTTTCAAGTTCGTTACTCGTCCCGTGTCCGTATCATAGATAGATAGATAGATAGATGAACGTAGATAAACAGATTTAATAATTGTGTGTCGACTGACCGTTTCACCTCGTCGGCCGATTGAGCAATGAAGAATCCCTGAGTGTTGGCCACGATTTTAGCTCCACGCGGATTAATAGAAATCTTGCTGTCGCCACCGCCGGCCTCTCCTTTTATCTCGATCGCCAGCAACAGTAGCTTCAGTTTGGTGAAGCACAACCTTTAACAGATTAACAAACAGCGTAGCATCCTCGTCCTCTCGTCCGTTTTGCTCGTCGATAATAATATTAATAATAATATAACGATGAGACAACGACGAGCACCACGTAGTCCACATGCCAAGCGAAAAGTGCAGACATTAAACGTGACAACAGCTTTCGTTAGAGTGAGATACATAACAGATCGAGTGTTAGTTAGATACATGTTTAGATGATTGTTTTTGAAAAACGATTACACAGGCGCCACCGCTCATGCGAAACAAATGCGAGTAATCTCCATCGTAAATTACAGTTAGTAGTGCTCTGTAATGCAGTAACAACAGTGCGTACGTTCTATGTATATTTATAGATGTATGTACCTAAGTAGACCTAAGTGGAACAAAATAACCCTTGAACGTGACTAACAAACGTAACCACCGCTAAATAGAAATCATACGATACCTACGATTTATGCACAAGTATAACAGCGAGTTATCTGATCTGTGTCCAACGACAAGAAATACTAAATCGGAAAGGGAGATGGACGTTCGGTGGGTGAAAATGCAATCGAAAATCTTCACCCATTTGGACTGCAGATTTTCGTGCACTAGACTAGAACGATCTACGAAAAAAAATGATTTGAAATTAGATTTTGTCACTTTTTACTTTGGACGTTTTCACGAACGATCCCGTTACCGTTCCTGCTTTCTCCATGTTCAATTATTTATTTTTATAGATCCGCACCAAATCCGCAGTCGGACAGAGTTATTAAATAAGTGTCGTGGATCGAAGTAATCTGCGAGATGTGCATCGCGAGCAATCGTCTCGTCTCACGTTTCGTTAGTAATTTTATTCATATTCAGGTGTGTACGCGTGTAGAGAGAGAGAGAGAGAGAGAGAGAGAGAGGGAGGAGGGCAGTCATGCGAGTAGGACGAAAGAGTATGGATCACGAAAAGAGATATTATTAATCGATTAAGGACGCGGGCGGGTGATTAACAGCGATTCTTTCTTCTCAATGTGTTTCTGTACGTACTACAAGAATGATCTACATCTGTACATGTACGTATTACACGAAACGTAGGACTATAATACTTATGTAAGATACTACTACAAAAAATGGCAGAAATGTGATACTACAAAAAGTGTATAAACGGTGAATCAGTCAATGAAGATATAAAATTGGGAATGGGGAAAATACGTATACAGCAGTTCCAGCTTAATCGTTCCGAGGGGCTGATCAATGAATCGATCATCTGGGGAGATATGTTCTTCTCTGAAAAACAACAGTGCACGAAGGTTCGTGTACCTAGCTCTACTGGAAACAGACGGGCGATCGAAATTCTCGTGGGAAATCGACAGGCGAGATTTGTCTCCGTTGAGAAGGAACTACTGTATATAAAAAACAAAAGTGTGTATAAAAATGACAAACGTATGTTCTCTCACACAACTTATGCAGACGCGAGAAAAATCTAAAAAACTATGTATGTATACGATAGAATAGCTGAAAGGTTTCTATACAAAAGAGCTAATCTCTACTCACTAACAAAAACATACGCTAAAAATTTGTTTGGACTGTAATGGCCATGAAACGTAATTCCGAAAAACTTGTGACTTGGTCCCGAAACGGGAACGGTGAAAGTCAAAAAAGATTTCTATACCGTGCATAAGTATTCGGAAGTAAAGTAAGTCGTCTAACGGTGTCGCCGAAAATAATTCACAGTGAGGTCTAATTAAAATTATACCGCGTTCTCTCTTCTATTTCAAAAGCAAACAGCTAGATAACGACGATTAGTATCCACTGTGAAAAAGAAACCGGTCTTCGAAGGAGAGTGTGAATGTAAAAGCCTGGAAACCGATCTGTTAAACGTCTTAAACGTCTTAAACGTCTTAAACGTTTTAAAGTTATGAACCGCGTTCCGATACTTATGAACGGTAGAGCCGACAGACAAGAAATGTCGAGCCAGTGAGACCTGGGGGCGTTTTCTGCGCGGGACTTACTCGCTGGCTTGGGGGAATGTCATCCCGGTAAAGGATGGGGAGAGGGTTTCCGTGTACATCTCGCAGCCCGTTCCCTGAAGGTAATCGTTCTGCCACGCCTGGGTATCCGGCGACTGAAACAACCAACCAACGCATTCCAAAGTTCGCAATTTTCACCCCAGACTGTCGGCTGGCGGCTACCCGGACAGGGGATATATCAACCGTTAAACGTTCGGTAATTTTCATGACCCAGGCCGTGTACCATAGGCCGTAGGCGACCATCAGCCAGAACAGATCCTATTTAATCCGAATCAACATTCCAGTAGGCGAATATCAAATATTCCATAGACACATCCTGATTACTTCTTCCTATAATAATTCGAATACTGTCCGGACAGATTCCAGAATGATTCCAGAATTTGCAACGCCCCTAAATTAGTAGCACGATTCCTAGACGTATCAACAACATTTAATTAGACATTCCTAAAACTGAAATACAGATTTCCTAAGTAAAGACTTATGTATGTATGTAGTTAATAACTGAAGCGTTATACAGGCATGTTAATATCGATATTGCGAGTGGATTGCACTGATCTGGTGTAAAAGAACAAAAAAAAAAAAGAAAAATAAAGAGCGAAACACACGCACACACGCGCGCACGCACAGTTAGTACGTCCATATGTAAATTAATAGATGACTAATACATATTATACGTATATTCTTATATATACAATAGCGAAGTGGAGCGCAGTGAGAGAGACACAGGCGAGGCGAGGCGAAGCTTCATCTCATTCTATATGTATTGTATACGAATCGTCATTTCTGTCCACTGTCAGTTTACATTGCAGACACTATTCTATCAGAATAGTTTGTGTCTTATTATTATTATTATTATTATTATTATTATTATTATTATTATTAACCGAAACGGGAACGGTGAAAGTCAAAAAAGATTTCTATACCGTGCATAAGTATTCGGAAGTAAAGTAAGTCGTCTAACGGTGTCGCCGAAAATAATTCACAGTGAGGTCTAATTAAAATTATACCGCGTTCTCTCTTCTATTTCAAAAGCAAACAGCTAGATAACGACGATTAGTATCCACTGTGAAAAAGAAACCGGTCTTCGAAGGAGAGTGTGAATGTAAAAGCCTGGAAACCGATCTGTTAAACGTCTTAAACGTCTTAAACGTCTTAAACGTTTTAAAGTTATGAACCGCGTTCCGATACTTATGAACGGTAGAGCCGACAGACAAGAAATGTCGAGCCAGTGAGACCTGGGGGCGTTTTCTGCGCGGGACTTACTCGCTGGCTTGGGGGAATGTCATCCCGGTAAAGGATGGGGAGAGGGTTTCCGTGTACATCTCGCAGCCCGTTCCCTGAAGGTAATCGTTCTGCCACGCCTGGGTATCCGGCGACTGAAACAACCAACCAACGCATTCCAAAGTTCGCAATTTTCACCCCAGACTGTCGGCTGGCGGCTACCCGGACAGGGGATATATCAACCGGTAATTCGGTTCGGTAATTTTCATGACCCAGGCCGTGTACCATAGGCCGTAGGCGACCATCAGCCAGAACAGATCCTATTTAATCCGAATCAACATTCCAGTAGGCGAATATCAAATATTCCATAGACACATCCTGATTACTTCTTCCTATAATAATTCGAATACTGTCCGGACAGATTCCAGAATGATTCCAGAATTTGCAACGCCCCTAAATTAGTAGCACGATTCCTAGACGTATCAACAACATTTAATTAGACATTCCTAAAACTGAAATACAGATTTCCTAAGTAAAGACTTATGTATGTATGTAGTTAATAACTGAAGCGTTATACAGGCATGTTAATATCGATATTGCGAGTGGATTGCACTGATCTGGTGTAAAAGAACAAAAAAAAAAAAGAAAAATAAAGAGCGAAACACACGCACACACGCGCGCACGCACAGTTAGTACGTCCATATGTAAATTAATAGATGACTAATACATATTATACGTATATTCTTATATATACAATAGCGAAGTGGAGCGCAGTGAGAGAGACACAGGCGAGGCGAGGCGAAGCTTCATCTCATTCTATATGTATTGTATACGAATCGTCATTTCTGTCCACTGTCAGTTTACATTGCAGACACTATTCTATCAGAATAGTTTGTGTCTTATTATTATTATTATTATTATTATTATTATTATTATTATTATTATTATTATTAGTCTGTCGTCTTTAAGTCGCGTACCTACATAGTCAGCTTTATCTTAGAATAATATTAATCAGTATTGTGTGTTAGAATGTATTTAATGACCGGAACGAACAACACCTCTTACGCTGTTTAACACGTTCTGTTCTAACATTGATCGAATTGCATTTTTCATTAACAACAGCCTTGAGGAATCTACATCCACAAAACGCGGTTTTCTCTTTTCAAATTTGCATTTTTCATTTGCAAACGGTGCATTTATGAAAGCCGAACTATAAGCACCACAGAGCTTATACGTAAACACATTCCGTCTCATTTTTGTCCACACGACTCTGTATTTAGTATAGTTAGAATGAAAGTTAGAAATAAATAGCTCCCTAGGCGAGAGGAATTTTCTTTGCATAGAATAAGCTCTATGATAAGCACGTACTTAGATTGTATTAGTGAGAATCAGTGCGTGCAATCAGGTCCAGCTCCTGTCTTGTTCGGTCACGTTCGAACAAGTATCCGCCGAAGTGAGAGGAAACGGGCGGGCGGGCGGTCGTTCCTTGATCAACCCGAAACAGCCTACACCCCCCGGGATTACCCACCGTTCCTCCTCTCGACTGATGCTCCTTTTGTTGACGGACGAGTGGCGAGCTTTTTTGAGCATGCTGCGAACCGCGTTCCGTGCACAGATAGATGGATAGAGCTCCATGCGAGTAGAGTAAGCCTCAGTAGGCTCGTGAGAGACAGTAGTATAAGTCAGTTGCTGATCAGACGTAGCGACACGAGATCCGAAATATCACGCGGCTACAAGCTCGCCACCCTGTAGGTAACAACCTAAGGCTCATCTTACGAATCGTTAGACCTCTGAATAGGACCACATGTAAAGCAGATTTCGTACGACAGAGCATGTTAAACAGGAGACGTAAGAGTCGATGGTTCGAGTCCACAGTTACTGGATACATTCTCACACAATACATATCGTACACGACGATACACATTGTTTCTACGCAGAATATATACGATTGTGTATACAATATAAATAATGTCTCGTATAATGTATATACAATAGTATTCTGCTGCCATTTGATTTAAATACGTATCTTCAGTTTTAGTTTATATCGTTCCGCGAATTTTCGTGTCATCACCTTTTCGTCGTGTTGATCGTTACGTTTCAGCTGTACGATATTAACGATTTGGATCGTTTCTCTTCCTTTGTTATTTTTTATTGAATTTAACCGGAAACTTGTGACTTACTCGGTTGCTTTAGCGAACGGCATCCCGATGAACGTCGGGCTCAGTGTTTCCGTGTACATCTCCATTCCTGTTCCACGCAAGTAGTCGTTCTGCCATGCCTGAATATCGACCATTATTCACCACCACCACCACTCTATCGTTCCTAAACGTTCTCCGAACACTCGGTCTCGGAACCGAGTGGCACACACGGGACAGAATCGTAAGAAAGTTGAGAGAGAGAGAGAGAGAGAGAGAGAGAGAGAGAGAGAGACTCGGTGCACAGTAGTACAGGTCGACGTATGCGCGAGCGGACCTCGGTGTGCCGACGACGTGTGCCGCGCAACTAAACTCGTCTAGCCCTATTCGCTATCGTTAAGTATTCATCTATACTAGGATGCGCGTGCAACTGTGCACCCTCGATTTCACACGTTTCTCGTGCATATCTATAGAAAAAAATATTGCCAAAAGTGCCCTCGCGTCGATCGATCTATCGTCTAGAAAATGTTCTAATTAAAAAATTCCGTTCCGACCGATTTGTAGCAGATCTGTGCCCGAGAGTCGCGGATGGTCAATAGACGTGCGCACGTGTGCGTTATTACGCACAGATGTTGTCGAAACTGTTCCCCTCCGGATCGAGAGCGAATCGGTTAAATTACTACTTATAGTACATAGTATAATCGTGGTAGCTGAGCTAAGCAGTGAATTCGATTGGAGGTTGTTACTGACCGTTTTGAAGGAGCGCATAGCGAATAAATTTGCCATCATCGTGCTGAAACCGGGGGCGAGACACGATTGGGCGATGAAGCCTAACTTTAATTCGGCTAAGCAGATTACGTCGTCGCCTTGCTTCCAGTCCCAGGAAGGTATATTTAACAGATAGGCCTGGAAACAGAACAAGACAGAATGGTCGTTTGAACGAATTAGCTACGACCTGTAGTAGACCTCTACGGTTGTAGGTGTTCGTTTCAGAGTTTCTCTGTCGAACAACAGGGAACGAACGGGTAAACTCTGAAATGGACACCTTGTTAATTCACGGTAAAGTGAACGTACTCACCTTGTTGTGGTATTGCATTAATTGTATAATGACTCTAATGTCGTCCGAATAGTTTTTAATCGATATCACTCGCATGATATTGGCCGCATCCTCCGCGTCCGGGTCCTGGCAATACTTATTCGCCAAAACTAAGCAAGCGTCTGCCTCGTGTACCTACAATATACGACAGACACTTGAGAAACGCATCGCGTGGTGAACAACAGAATTTAAGACTAGTGATTTAGAAATGACAACATCGTTTGCTAACACTCTCGTTCTTATACAACAGGTATCGGGGGAGAGAACCTAATAGGTAAGTGTATTGCCGATATAGGTATAGGTAACCAACAGAGTTCTGGTGCTTCTTTAGAACAGTTCTACGGGCGTGTAATAAATAATGATTGAGAGGAGCAGAACCAACCGTCTCCGTATGAGTGGTTCAATTTTTTCACGCGACACATGGCCCATCTGGCAGCCATTCGAAAATAGTGTACGCGCGACGAGATATACATTTGGCTGAAACCAGTGAACGCCATCAGCATCTACCAGGAGGTATGAAACGCGTTCCTCCGATTCAGAAGTTTGTCGGTTATCTAAATGTGCATATGTATACATATATGATTCGAATTCATGTGAGATTGTCAAATGAAAGTAATACGTGGAATGAGAAGGGCCGGGGGACAAGAACTGATAAGAAATTAGAGGAAAACAAGTTGTCCTCCCTTTAGGTATAGTATGTATGTATAGACTCTTATCGGAATATCTCCTGTCTGATCGTGTCTCTCCTCGGAATTCAAATAAGAGTAAGAGGAAAATAATTGATCTGTATAAGCTAAAAATTGCCATCGGCATGCTCGTGTTAACTTAAAATAAGTGTATGCACGTCGTGATCCTAGTTGATTTCTATCTAAGGAAAAGGCGGAAACAAATGAAACAAGTAGCAACTGCAGCGCATACGCCATACCTAGTATAATAATTCGTCTAAATGGCTCAAATGCAAATTTAGATTATCTACAATAATACTTGCGCTTTAATATACAGAATACGCAATAAAATTGCTATTATAATATATAATATAAAGTTCACTACTTTCTAACACTAGTCTTAAGAAGTAATTCTGGGTATAGGCGAGTAGAGGCGAACGCGATGATCCTCGGTAAAAATAGTTGATCTACTAAGAACTTCATTCCCAAGCACAATTTTTATGTTTTACTTACCTGCGTCGACGGTAGACGTATCGATTACGACATTTCTAGTACAACAGGTATAGGTATAAAAACTTGCGTTGAGCACGTGTTCAATTTTGCAAAAGGAGATACGAGAACGAATTTTTTCCGCGATCAATTTATCGTTCGCCGATCATTTAATAGTACTGTTAATTCTCATTGATTGTGTTCTGTTTGAAACCTGCGACAGGTTTCTCTTCTCTTCTTTCGTTTCTTTAGGATTTCGTATGAACTCACCTTGACCCGTTGGAGGTCGATCGGGTTCATAATCGTTCCCTGAAAGAATTCCACCGTGGTGAAATGCCGTTTGAACAGCCCCTCGAGTTCCAAATCCGGTGGCTTCCTGGATTGTCCATTTGCAAAAAGAACAATTAATATCTGAGCAGCGTATTGGCAGGGGAAAAGTTTGTCCACCTTTCTTAAATTTATAACAATAATAATAATAATAATAATAATAATAATAATAATAATAATAATAATAATAATAACAATTAAATATATATATATATATATAATCTGGAACGAGCTGCTGGGTTCGGTCCGCCGCTATATCGAGAGCTAAATAATTGGGTACACATAAATCGTAATAAATGGTGCCTACTAATTAATACAATGCATAGATGGTAATATCGTAAGAACGCGTGTCTATTATCTCTAATTATATTAAAATAGATCTAACTAAGTAAGTCTCTACTGTAAGTGCAAAATCGAAAGCTAATTATTCTAATATTGAATAATGAAAATAATAAGATGTAGCAGATACAAGTTCGCCCGTAATATTATCTTAAATTCGTAATAGCAATAATGACGATAATAATCATAGCTCGTTAAGCCTCATACCATGCGATCACAGCCAATAGTAAT